CCACAAGTTTCCTGAAACTACATAGAAAATTTTGCACGTACACATTTTTCTGAAGAAGTGGTATAACTTTTATCAGTTTTCAAACAGACTTGTGTCTCCCCTAAAACCTAGCACTAGTACAATCCCAAGGAAGTTCTCCTGAAATGTGCCAACCTTAATTCTTCCCTAAAATTTTTCATGTAATACAAGAAAGCCGTTGATTGCAGCCAAGTATTGAGAAGATCACTAGCTATAGTAAATGTACTGCTTACCGAGTACAAAAATAATAAAATAAAATAAAATAAAATAATCACCATTCCCTCCATTTTGTTTACAGAATCTGCTAATTCTTTCATATACTTAGTATCCAATGGTACATCTCTAAGGAAGCTGGCCAGAATTGTAGGTACTCGATGGCTATGGAAATACGTCCTCTGAGTGGGAGAAACTGAACACGACAGAAGAGGTTTCAGCTTGCAATACTGGTCTTCTTGCTATTAAATTATAAAATTAAAATTCTACCTAAATCCATTTATTTTGCAATCTTGGAACAGGACAAAAAGAAATCATTACTTAAGAGTCTAGCAAAAAAAATGGACACATGCCTAAGTTTGGGGATTTACACATTGGCTGTAAAAGGCAAATGAAGGTCAAGACATTAACAATTAGGCACACTCAGGAGGACAGTTGACCCGTGAACAACATGAGTTTGAAATTTACAGGTCCACTTACATGCAGATTTTTAAAAAATAAATATATTGGGAAAATTTTTGGAGATCTGCAACAATTTGAAAGAACTCACAAACCACATAGCCTAGAAGTACCAAAACGTTTAAGAAAAAGTTATGTATATAAGAATACAGTTGATGATACGTATAACACACAAAATATGCATTCATTGACTGTTTATGTTATTGGTAAGGCTTCCGGTCAACAGCAGGCTATTAGTACTTAAGTTTTGGGGCAATCAAAATTATACATGGATTGTCCACTGCGTTGTTGGGAGGGGTCAATGCTTCTAACCTCCATGTTGTTCCAGGGGCAACTGTATATCAATTAGAAACTTGCAGATAGGAGGACATTAACATATACTCTAACTCTTAAAGGGTTCTGCCACCCTTTATACAGTCAGTCTAGAATTGTAACTGTTAAACTGTTCTAAAAAATGATATCATGACTATCACTGAAATACTATTTCACAATGTAGATATTACTAAAATAGCTCTCACTTCACTTAAAAAAAAAAAAAAGTGGAGGTATTCACACAGAATATAAACATGGTGAACACAGCTTCAGCATGCTGACATTGTTCTGTTGATGGCTACGGCCAGGCCACCACCTGACACTGAAGTAGACTGTGGTTAAGGAAACAGGTTCTGGTGTCAGGCAGAGCTGGGTTGAAATTGGAGTTCTATCACCAGAGCACAGCATTAGCCACTGAGAGTATTAAGTGAATTAAGTCATGTAAAGTGCTGAGAAGGGTGCATGGTACATAGTAAGCTCTTAGTGCTACTTGTTCTTCTCAAACCCACTTCCCCGACTCCTTTCTTGCTGGAAGAGACCCAATTTTGTTCAATCGTGTACCTTTCTTGTGAACATGTGCTCCGAGTTAGTGACCTCATTGCCCAGTGTGTTAGTCCATTTGGACAGCTGTCATAAAATACCTGAGGTGGATGGCTTATAAACAACATTTATTTCTCACAGTTCTGGAGGCTGGAAGTGCAAGATCATGATGCTGGCAGATGTGGTATGGTGGCTGATGAGGGTCCACTTCCTAATTCATAGATGGCACTAAGCATGGGACACATGTCATTGCTCATAAAAATGCTGCCAACAAACACCATTTAAGGAAACCAATACTCCAAGTATGACTCCCATGGACAGAGTTGAAGATCCTGGATTAGATGTATGAAAAGAGAAATTATTCAGTAAGTGTACTTAATTCCTATGGTCTATAGGTTACCAAATAGCTGTTTAGTTTTATGAAATTACAATTTCTAACAAGCTCAGAGAAAAACAAGCCAACACTATGTAATTCATGCTTTGTAAAATAAATAGTTCAAGGACCACCACCTGTATTTACCACGACAAAAACCTGTATGTGGAAAGTTACGAGACAAATTTTAGCTCCGTATATTAGAAAATAAAAAAAACCAAGATTTCCAAATAACTTAAAGCTACCCAACAACACTGTCAGCTACTGAGGTAGGCAGAATAACAACCCTGCCTCCCACCCCCCACTCCTCCAAGATGTCCCACATCCTAACATCCAGAACCTGCGAATACATGGTTACATGGCAAGGGAGCATTAAGCTTGAAGAAGGAATTAAGGTTGTTAAACAGCTCATGTTGAGATGGGGAAAGAATCCTGGTGGCCCAATATAATCACCAGAGTCCTTATACATGAAGGAAGGAGGAGCTGGGAAACTTAGCTTCCATGAGATATAGTGATCTCCCTCTTACAGATGATGTTCAGGCCGAGTGAGCCAAGTTGTTCATGGTGTGCAGGGGAGTAGGTAAAATGTCATGATGCATCTAGGGCGCCTGGGTGGCTCGGTCGGTCAAGCGTCCGACTTCGGCTCAGGTCATGCATGATCTCGCGGTCCGTGGGTTCGAGCCCCGCGTCGGGCTCTGTGCTGACAGCTCAGAGCCTGGAGCCTGTTTCAGATTCTGTGTCTCCCTCTTTCTCTGACCCTCCCCTGTTCACGCTCTCTCTCTTTCTGTCTCAAAAATAAATAAATGTTAAAAAAAATTAAAAAAAAAATGTCATGATGCATCAGATAAGGACTGCCTAAGTGAGTTTCCAGAGGCAGAAGTCCTTAAACTGGTTCTAAAGAAAACCCCTGAAACTGCATGCACCTTTCTGTCTGTAACCACCTATGTTCCTTTTTCTGTAGAGAGAGTCTAAAGCATTCAAAGATTCTCTAAAGAATCTGTTTTCCGGGGCGCCTGGTTGGCTCAGTCGGTTAAACGTCTAATTCTTGGTTTCGGCTCAAGTCATGATCTCACAGTTTGTGAGTTCAAGCCCCGCATCAGACTCTGTGCTGACAGCACACAGCCTGCTTGGGATTCTGTCTCCCTCTCTCTTGACCCAACCTTGTTCTTTATCTCTCTCTCTCTCAAAAATAAATAAATAAACATTAAAAAACAAACAAACAAAAAAAGAATGTTTTCCAAACAAGGTTAAGAAACAGTATGGAGTTTCCTCAAAAAGTTAAAAATAGAACTACCCCACAATCCAGCAACTGCACTACTAAGTATTTACCGAAAGGATACAAAAATACAGATCTGGAGGGGCATATGCACCCTTATGTTTATCACAGCATTATCAGCAATAGCCAAATTATGGAAAGAGCCCAAATGTCCATCAACTGATGAATGGATAAAGTGTACACACACACACACACACACACACACACACACACACACACACACATTGAAACATTACTCGGCCCTCAAAAAGAATAAAATCTTGCCATTTGCAACAACATGGATAGAGCGAGAGAGTATTATGTTAAGCGAAATAAGTCAGTCAGAGAAAGGCAAATACCGTAAGATTTCATTCATGTGGAATTTAAGAATCAAAACAGATGAACACATGGGAAGAAAAAAAGGGAGAGAGGGAAGCATATCATAAAATACTCTTAACTATACAGAACAAACTGAGGATTGATGGAGGGAGGAGGGTGGGGGATGAGCAAAACGGGTGATGGGCATCAAGGAGGGCACTTGTTATGAGGAGCACTGGGTATTACATATAAGTGATAAATCATGAAATTCTATGCCTGAAACCAGTATTACACTTTATATTAAACTAGAATTTAAATAAAAATTTGAAAGAAAACAAAAGGATACCTTCCTAAATTATTTGCAACACTGAGCTTTTACTATGTCATGATTTTCTAAGGTAGTGAGTCTTAAAGTGTAGCCCAGCAACCACCACCATAAAATATCAAAACTTGAGCTCCATCCCAGACAGAATATCTGGGAGCTACAGGAAAGTTCAATATTTCACAAAATGGAGAAAGGGAAAACAGGGAATTCTATACACAGTTAAAAAAAACCACTACACCAAGAGGTATTTTATGAAATATTCAACTGAAGAAACTGAAATAAATTGTTCCCATTACCAAAGCTTAAAATCTCAGTGTACTCATCTTACCGTGTGACTCTGTGTAACTTTTTTTTTTTCTGAGTCTCAGGTAGCTCAGAATATGTAAGCAATGCCTACTACCCCTAATTTTTTATATCAAAATTCAGACTGTGACGTGCCAGATGATTGGCAGGTAATACAGCACACTCAAAAAATGTTAAGCCATATCCCCCCACCCTCATGTAAAGAAAAATAATGCCCAGCATACTATATTACCTCCTGTTAAATACTAAAAGAATTATGTTAATTCTGTTAATGTCATTACTTAATGCCTACTTTCTGTAATAACTTCTTGGTATGATTCCCCTCCTAATATTCCACTCTTTCAAGCGCATGTTTTGCTTACAACATTCTTCTCGACCTATGTCTGTGATGTCATAGGTATTTACAAATTAAGTCTCTTGCTTATCGTCGCGCGGGGCAACCCGAGAGGCTTGGAAGAAAAGATCTCCCAATAGAGAGGGGCCAAGAGAATGAATAAGAATGGCTACCAGTGGCTTTTGAATCTCAGCAAGCTTCGACACCCTGACAGCTTTAGGGGAACCTGAGACTGGGAAGTGGCTTGAAAGAAAGGCGTTTAGGACCTCTCTCCGCGCGTCACAAATAACCCAAATTCCAAGGCAAGGTCACAGAGAAGCCACACTAACCAGGGGCCCAGGAATGGAGTCAAGTTCTCCCAACTCCCAAGAAAAACCCTTCGCGGCATGCATGCACTAGGCCAAGTCAGCGGACCTCTCCCCGAGAAAAGGCCTTAGGAACCGGGAGCCGCGGGCACTTCCACACCCAGATGGGCCTTGAATCCAAAAGCCCCTGACCCAGGCCCATTACTCAGCTACACGGAGAAGCTGAGCGAGCCCCGACCACTCACCCCGCAGCCACTGCGTGCTGTGAAGCCATCTCCAACTAGCTCCGCGACCGAAAGACCATCCGGAAGCGCCCCTCACCAGCCCCAGTCTTCGGCAGCCGCCGGAGCCCAAGAGGTAGCGTAGCACCCGAGGGTCACAGCCCAGCCTCCAGGAGGCCGCCATCTTCCCGGCCTTGTCGTGGGCTGCCCGCAGCACCGCCTGATCGCCCAGTCATCAAGACCCTCCCAGGCCCCGCCTCTTGTCACGTTGGCCACACCCCCTGGCTCCAGAGGTGCGCGTGAGTCTCGGAATCAAGAGGTTCTCTTAGTCCCGCCTCCAACCTCGTTGGCCCCGCCCCTCAGCCAGGAGGCCGCGCCTCTGGATCTACGGTCCGCGAGGTCCTCCAAGACCCGCCTTCCGCCTTTTGGACCCGCCCCCGAGCTGCCCTCAGCGCCGCCCGATTGCAGCGGTGGTCACGCCACAGACTGCTCTTAGCCCAGACCCACCTCGGTCCCGAAGCCGCTCAAAGATAGGAGGCCGTGGGTTCCCCTCATCAGGGCCATGTCGGGCTGTCACGCTCCGGAGGGAGACTGCTGCTCGCAGCGCTGCGGCGCTAAGGTAGGGGCGGGGCCGCGGGTGCCCTGTTTGCCCGGACTTGAGGCACAGGTGGCGTGCGGCGGCGGGAGCGGGGCGCCGACCTGGGGGGCCTGGGACCGGTGTGGACGCCACCCCTGCTACCCGCCGCCCTGGCTCCGCAGGCCGGTTCGAGGCCACGGCAGTCGCTGTTCCCGAGGCTGGGCTCCGATGACGGGCGCTGGGCGCCAAACGCTGAAAAAGGGAAAATAACGGAGGAGAGCGCTGCGCATCTTGAGTGTGTTTTGAGACAACTTACCGGGAGTACAGGGCAAACGAGGCAACAGGAGGCACTGGAGTGGAAATGGAGCTAAGACTGCCCTCGAGCTTATTTTCTGCGCCCTGGCAATCAGCCCGACGTTTGGCAGGCAGTAGGCGCTCGGGAGACGGTGGCCAAACCGAGGCTGTGCTTCAGTAGCCCCCACTTTCCCTCTCCGCCTGCCTCAGTTTAGAGTGATTATGGGATGGTCATCCTTGAGCAGAAGTCAAAGGAAAATCCACCCTCGGGCTGCATCTGCTTTTCATTCACTGGGTATACACCCCAACAGCTTTATGGAATACCTGTGTGCCCAGGGATACAGCGAGGATTAAGACAAATGGCCTGCGATCTGGAGGAAAACTAGAGGAGTAAACAATTACAATACAGTGAGAGAACCCCTGCTTAAGAGGCAGGGATAGCCCCCTAAAATTAGCCCCCTATTCCTCCTGTTCTTTCTTAGGACTGACTGAAGGCCCCAGTTAAGAAAGTCGTAACGTGGGAGATCTTATTGCGAAATACTTGTCAGTCTTGTGGGAATACTCCCACAGCTTAGCAAAAGCTAAGCAAAGACAGCTTAGCAAAGACAACTGTGAGGATGGAATGGTGGACAGGAAAAATTGGATAGAAAGGGGGAAGATGTTGGATACAGGTCAGATGGCTAGGCAGGCGTGCGTGGAAACTGCAGAAAGCAACCTGTTAATAGAATCTCTGCTAAGATGTTTCGATAGCATGTGTGTTCATGCCACCAGTAAGTGAATCTTGGTGAAATATTATCTAAAGGAGCATCAAAGAGAGCCTTTATCAAGGGATCTGAGAATAAACAAGACCTCTCAAACCAAACGTGGCCAACAGACAGCTGGGCCAACAGCTGTGTTTGCTTCACTTACTGTTCATAAGAAATATTAGCCAACCTTTCAAAATGCAGAGCACTTTAGGCTTCTGTTAAAACTTTGGTACATCTGATGGCATGGAGCTTGTATTCCTTCATGGGATCTGGGTTGAGCTGACTAGTGAGTACCACCTAAATGTGCTTGCCAGGCTACAGAGCTCCCCTACCCACAACAGATTTGCATATGCACTTAAATAAACCACTTCCAGTAAGCTTCATTCGGTCCGTGAGCCACCAGTTCGTAAGCTCTGATACAGGACTTTTCTCGATGTAGGAGATGTGATCTTAATTCACAGTGTTTATTGGGCAAAGCACTATCTGGTAGGTATATATCAAGAGCATGTTCCCTACTTTGTAGGCAGCTAAGCTTAGCTGGGAAATAAACCAAGAACTACTTCTATTTTTTAATTTTACCTTACATATCATAGTGTCCTATATATGTCAACCCTGAATAAATACTTGTTCTTTGCTGTTATTGTAACACAAGGCCTTTCAATACCCTTCCCTTGACCTCATCAGTTCTGTACATCTTTACCCCTTTGGGGTGAAGGACTTTTCTTTTTTTACTCCGACACTTCTCTCTGCGTAGCCCCCATCATAGGATCTATCACACTGGATTACAAATAATTAATTGCCTTTACTTAAATGCCTCCCACGCAGACCCCCAAGGGATGGGGTTTGAGGGAGTGTCCCTCAACTACACACATTTGTGTCTCTACAAATATTATTGTGTCCTACTGCAGCTGGCTCCCGGACACCTCCACATTACCTGAAGTGACTATCCTCAGACCTCACCATCTCCTCTCATTCTTTCCCCCAAACCTGCTTTGAAGGTGACTTCGCCTCCAGAAACACAAAGAAAATGAAGCTGTTAGTTGTGAACATCTTAACTTCAATTTCTTCCTGTTCCCACCTACGTTACAATGTTAAGATTAAGAACAAGACATCTAGAATTTGACTGCCAGCAAAAATCTTGGTTCTGCCAGTTGCCACGTGGGCAGTTTTGGATGCATTAATCTTTTTTTTACTTTCTTTCTTTCTTTCTTTTTTTTTTTTTAGAGAGAGAGAGAGAGCAAGTGAATGGGGGAGGGACAGACAGAGAGAGGGAGACAGAATATGAAGCAGGCTCCACGGGGACTGAATCCCACAAACCTGGCATCATGACCTGAGTCAAAATCAAGAATTGGACCTCCAACCAACTGAGCCACCCAAGTGCCTCAATCTTTCTTAGCATAATATAGCTATTATAAGGATTAAGTTGTATATATAAGCTTTTAGTATACTACCTGGCATAAAATAAGTATTCAATAAATATTAACTATTTTTGTTATTAATCGTATTATTACATATCTTCCTTACTTTTCTTCTTCCTCCTAAGATAAATATTTCCCTGGTCTAATTCCAGCTGCTCTGTCTCCACAAAGATTGACCTATTCGGCTTTTGCTTTCCTGTGGTGCTAATCTCTCCCCCTTCCCTAATTTTACCTTTTAGCATGAAAGGAAAACTGGTTATTTCAGAGTTTCCTTTACATGCTAAAACTCTGTTATTAACCAGTTTTCCCTTTGGTTTCCCTATCTGGCCCTTCAGAGCCACACTATTGAAAGAGTCTTAAGAAGGGGCGCCTGGGTGGTGCAGTCGGTTGGGCGTCCGACTTCAGCCAGGTCACGATCTCGCGGTCCGTGAGTTCGAGCCCCGCGTCGGGCTCTGGGCTGATGGCTCAGAGCCTGGAGCCTGTTTCCGATTCTGTGTCTCCCTCTCTCTCTGCCCCTCCCCCGTTCATGCTCTGTCTCTCTCTGTCCCAAAAATAAATAAACGTTGAAAAAAAAAATTTAAAAAAAAAAAAAAAAAAAAAAGAAAGAGTCTTAAGAATTCTCTGCCTCTAAGTTTTATTCACTTCTTAACCCACTAAGATCTGGCTTCCACACCCAACCTATTAAAACAATTCGTACTTAAGGTTGACCTAATTTACAAAGATAGTTGGCCTAGCAAAAACCCAAAGTGAACCCATCGTTTTTGTGATCGCACCGAGCTGCATTCCTAGAGAAAATTACATAACTGCACTGAGCGGCCTCACTTCATATTCAAGATTTCAACCCCAAATTGACCCTTAACACTGCCCAACAACCATCCCATGTTTCCCCGGTACTTTACTGTCCCACTCCCTGAGAGGACTAGTTTATACCTTTTATTATCTTTTCAAGCCTCTCATACCCCGTCCCCACATCGTTCCTCAGCTGATGGCTTTGTTTATACGTAAGAAAATAGAAGATACCGGATATGAACTTACTTGCCTTCCTACCACAAAACCTAGCGACCTGCTGAAACGGGAACCCATCTTCTCATTTTTCAAGATGGCGGAAGCCCAATCTCTCCTCTTGTGCACAGGATCTGCCTCCCCTCTCACATTCAGAAGTTGTTCCTGTCCCTCTCCCTGCCTCTCTTACTGTGAATCAGCCCCCTCTCGGCCAGACTGTTCTCATCAGCATGGCTTCCAAGGCCCTGCGTGACCTGGCCCCTACAAGTTCATCTGCCTCTCTCGGCACTTTCCTTGTCAGCACTCTGCTCCGGCCACCTGGCCTTCTTTCCATCAAATGTGTTAAGCACTGTCTCACTCCAGGGCCTTTACATCTGCTGTCTTCTCTGCCTGGAGTGCTTGCCGCACCCCAGACAAACCTTGTGTGTGCAAGCACATTCATTTATTACACACTGGTTTGTTGGTTTGTTTTTCACATTCTGTGGCCTTTAGATTGTCAAGTGCTCAGAGAGGCTTTCCTTAACCACCTTATTCAAAATCAATCTCTGCTATGTTTCTCTTAAGTTCCTTGTTTCCTTCTTCCTACTTATTTAAAAAAAAATTTTTTTTAATGTTTATATATTTTTGACAGAGAGCATGAGCGGGGGAGGGGCAGAGAGAGAGGGAGACCTAGAATCTGAAGCAGGCTCCAGGCTCTGAGCTGTCAGCACAGAGCCCGACGCGGGGCTTGAACTCAGAGTGGGGATCCCGACCTGAGCCAAAGTTGGACGCTCAACAAGACTGAGCCACCCAGGCGCCCCTCCTTCTTCCTACTTAGTATAATTTATTCCTCTCTTTGCTCTTTTAAAACTACCCCCAGAATGTAAATTTCTTTAGGGCAGGGACTTTGTCAAGTGTTAGTGGCTGAATTGCCCGGGAATGCTTGGCATACTCCCACCATCCTTCATTGAGACCTGACTCACCCTTCTCTCCTCTGTGAAGCTTTGCCCGACTCCTGCTCCCTCCCACCGCTAGCTTCTTCCTCCCACCGGTAAGTGGCTTCCTTGGACTGCCCTGTATTATGTATTGCTTTGTCCTTTCATAACTTCTATACTAGATTGTAAGCTTCTTGAGGGCAAGGGTTTTATCTTCCTCCTATTCATTTCTTCAGGGCCTGCAGAAGTTTGCCAAATGAATGAATGAGAAGGCTCTACAATAAAAAAAGAAAGGACAGGTACACAGAGCAAATGCTGTGGCATGGGATTAGAGGAAGGAGCGATCGCTTCCTGCTGGGATGATGGCAGAAGGAATCACAGGGGAAGCGATAGGGGGCCTGGTGTTAACGCTGATAAGCAGGAGCCTGACAGAGTCTCAATAATTGAAAATCCACCACGAGCAATAACAGTGCAAAAAAAAAAGATGCACTTGGTTATAAAGAAAATATGTCTTAGTTAACTAGTGCTCTCCATAGCAAGTACCTCAAAACTTGGGCTTAAAACCCAAACACTGACTGTCTCGCAGAGTTTGAGGATTAGGAGTCTAGGGGAGTTTGGCTCAAGGTTCTGGCTCAGGGTCTCTCCTAAGGTGGCAGACAAACTGTCCC